CGACTCGTCTAGTTTTACTCCAGTCACCGATTGTTTTGCCGCCAATTTCATTTCGTCTTTTTTTTTTGCTTCAACGAATTTTTTTTTGGACGCGTTCTTCGCCAAGAAACCCATTAATTGTTCTGCATTTTCGTTGTTTTTTTTTTCTCTTTTTTATTTGAATTTATTTTTGAGGTCATCTGACAACAACAACAACATTGATGAATTGGCGTGCAAATGAATTGCGGAATTGAGTTTGCATTGAATCCATTTTTCTAATTTTTGCTCTTCTTCTTTTTTTTTGGTGAGAATCCGTTGAGACAACCTCTAAACACAATAATGCCCAATTTATTCCAACGATGTGCTCTATGATTCCAGTTTTTTGAAAGTGGGCGTGGCTTCCTCCAAATGCCCATTTTTAGAGTTTCTCCATGAAAGCACGCCATTTCAATTTTTTTTTTGACATCAATGAACTGAATATCATTAATCCGATGTGATTAGCATCATTTTAAAACGAAACTTGGGCACATTTCCTATAATCGAATACTCGGCTAGACACGATTATCGATGATTCCATCATTGTTTTCTTTTCATCTCATCATCATTATCAATACATTATCAAGATTCGCCTAAATCGTAGATCGACATCCTTATAAGGACACATGGTATTCTTTCAATTTTTCTAGACACGCCCACATTTTTTGGGGATTTGTGCGCGAAATTGTAGTCAGCGATGGAAAAGCTTAAAAATTTCCTCGATTCTTGTTATAACAAAAGCTAATCAAGTGGATAATCATGATTAAATTGCAAAATTGTTCTGTGAAAATTTTTGTTGCGCCATTCGAAATGCCAAAATGAAATAGGATTTAGGGAACTGCGGGGTGGATTTACGAGGTGCGCCGTTCGAAATGGTCTCGTCACGTCTCAACGTCTATTTTGTCTTGATTAATTTTTTTTTAGTTATTTCTTGAATTTCTAACGTCATTCAAATTAACAATTGTGCAACCGACCTCTAAAATGTAAACTAACTACTCTGTCGGCGCGAGACCAAGAGAAAGACGCATTCCCGTAAATCTACCCGTGAGCAGCAGTCACCGGACGCTGACGATATTATCAACGCAAAAATAATGATCTCGTTGCGCAATTGTGGACCATCGCACTTTTTCGAGGCGGTAATTCAAATTCGAAATTAAACAATGGGAAGTCGGGTACCGTATAACCGATTTTCTGCGGACCAAACTGATAATAATTTTTAGCTTGAAGCTCACAACCATTTTGCACAAATATAATGAATTTTCAGTGTTTGATCGCTTATATGGATGTAAATGTATTCATGATTTGCACGAATACAATAGGTCCATGAGAATGTGCTGCGTTTCTCCAATTTTGCTGGTTTTTTTCAGATTTTGCAAATGCGAAATTTAAGAAGTTTCGCATCCAATTAGGCGCGAGATGATCACTCATTGCAAATTAGCGCAAGATTTGCATATTAGAAGTAATAGGCCTGATTTGGCGTTGCCTGCAACGCCGAGTAGGTGGATTCTTGCACGGAATCAGAAAAGTCTTGGATTGCGCAGAAAAAAAAAACGATTTTTTTTGATATTTTTTAGATTGATGACATTTTCGATTCAAAAAAATTGCTTCTATATCTGCCGACATTCGATTGAAATTCGCCGGCTTCTTAACTTGAGATTTCTGACAATTCCTGCTTGACATTTTTTAGGGTTTTGGGACCATTTGTATAGTCGGTGAAATTTCTAGACCACATAAAAAAATTGATTCTTTCTCCTTTTCAATTATCAATTTGTAGTTTCAGCCTTTTTTTGTTGCTTCACCAGACAGCAAGAGATATTCGTGTGATATTGCTTCCTTTTTTTCTCGCGTTGAGTTCTGATTTCGATTTTCATCATGTTTTGCATTTTTGAATAAGCAAATAGCTAACATGGAATAGATAATTAAGTATCTCGACAGTGAGAGAAGAAACTTTTCACATTCTTATCTAATTGGCTTCGTTCTCGGGTTTCTGCACGACGTCTAATGAATCGATGCGCCACGATTTTTTTTTTCTGATGCGCTTTGCCAAAAATTTTGCGTGAAACTTCCGGAATGGGGCATCAACGACTCGGCTTTTTCAATCTCCCTCGATATTTTTTAGTGAATTCGATTTTTTTTCTTCACTCCAAAAAATTTTGTGCTCGCTTCTTTGATTTGTTGGGTACGGTTTCATCGAGAATTACTAGTTCGGCGGAAACGATAAATATTTGCGCAATTATCAAATTTTTACTATTAAATGGCGCGAATCTGAGCAAATAATGAATGATTCTCTCTTTCTCGTTTTTTTTTTGTATCGCTGCTCCTTTAAACTCTCGATTTTTGTTCAAGACGCGATTTTGGTTTTTCAGAAGGAAGCATCAATCAATTGTGTTTCGCGTCGGGACCCCGGACATGCGCCTTTGAGAATGACGAGACGAATTTGACATCTGATTGGTTTGCATTTATTACAGTTTTCCCCCCAATAAGGCTTCATCTGTGTAAACGGATTAAGCCGAGGATATTTCTTTTGATTTTTATTGTAGATTAAATAGACTAGCGATTACTGTAGGATTGCGGAATTTTCGGAGATAAGAGATTCTCATTATACGCACCTAATCTTTTGTCGACGAGCACATTCTTTCTTTTTTTTTTTGGAGGGGGGGGGGGCGCTCGAATCCGATGCGAAATTGGCAATAAATTGGAAAAATGCCTTCTCATTAGACGTCTTGCGTTTCGGCCCATCGACGACGATTCTTCGCGCAGATTAACGCGTTTTGTCTCCTTCAAACTAAATTCATTTTTGTTTGTTTGTTTTCGAGCACTGTGCATCTCCCCCCTCGTATCCTCTTGAGCTCACGTTGCTCTCCGCGCCGTCGACGGCGGCCGCCGCCGTTTCGGTGTGATCCGTCGAATATCTTCGCACTTCGTTATTAGACATTTTGCACTGCCGAGAGCGATTTGTTTGTTTTCGTTCACTTTTTTTTTCGCTTTTTTTTTGAAAAAAGAAAATTGAATTTCTATTAGAATGTGTACTCAACGACTAAATCATTGATTAGAAATCAGCCGTCTGGTGTTTCATTTTTTTTAAATAAATAAATATTGTTGGTCTCGAGACGACGGGACGCGCACGGTGTACTTCACGCCGACAATTCATCTCGTAAATATCCCCCCGCGCGTAAATCGACACCTGTGTCGCGAGACCCTACAGTAGACCGCGGCGTCCGTGATTTCAACAATTGTGAAAACTTGTAAATTCCAGCATTTCGATGCTTAAATAAATGAGCCCAATAATCTAATACTATAAAATGGTTTCCCATAAAAATTGTTCATATTTTGGATATTCACGTTTGCAAGGTCAGATCAAATTTCATGTGATTCGAGTTTCTTTGTGCTTTTGAGGATGTCACGTTCTTCAAAATTCATATAGTTGACATTCTGCCACAAAAAATTCGGGTTGATTTACGGAATGTGCCTTTAATTTTTTTGCAACTGATTGCTTAATCTTTTTAGGTGTATACCGAAAATGTTAAAAATCAAGGAGCAAATTTGTAAAATTGGGAAGCGAGCAGCTATTAAATTCGTATGTAAAAATCAAGCTGAAAACTTGGATATTAAGCTTTTTGAAATTTAAGCGAGCTTCATCTTTCTCCAACTCCCTTGTTAGATATTATTTTCAAAATTTGCACCTAAGAGTGAGATTAAAAACAATAATGAAATGTTCCTTCCTCATTTCATCTCATTCCATTCTTCGTTTCCCTTCTCCACCCATGTTTATGCATACGAATATTTAATTCAGTGTGTAGTTTTGCGCTCAGCCCTTGCTGACACCTCCATTGTTGCAATTTCGCTTTGTTTTCTGCGAAACGCCGCCGCCAGTCTGCAAGTTGAATTAATTTCGACTTTGAACTTTGCGAAATTGAAAAAATAAATGACAAACAACTATGGAATGGAAGATTTGAGCATTTGTTTAAAATTGCGATTTGCTTGGATTCGATCGGACGGGACCAGGTGATTCTTTCAGATTCTTTATTCAGCAGGCGAGTCATAACACACTGGGTGGCTTCTATTCTGCTAATTTTATTTCAAATCAAATACAGTACCTCATTGGATTTGGTTCCAACCGAAATCAGAATGCGCCTTTAATATTCTATGTAGTTGTGCGCTTTTTTAGGCTTCTCAAAATTAAAATCTGAATCGCTTGAAGACCTATCGGCATTATGAGAAAAAACCCTGGTTGGTTGACATTTAGAATCGACTTTTGAAGCAATCAAAACCCAAAAAATGATTTGGGTTTGAAAAACGGAACATTAAACGTTTTCATGTCGTCCGCCACCGGCAACGTCGTCGTTTCGTTTGCTTTTTTTCTTGGCTGCTCGATTTTCATCTGTTCCGAACAATTGGACATGTCATTATTGCTCGATAAAATCTGTCGTCGTGTTCTGGTTCACTGAGACGCACTTTTACAGACGAGATGTGATTTTGAAACTTGATATCCGCCTAGTTTTGTCATGTCCTGCTTCATCTCGCGAAAAAAAGAGTTTTTTGTGTGGGCCTGCTGCTGCAGCTCCCTCCGACTGGCCATTGTGGCCCGAGTTTTTTTTTTTTCATTCAACAAGTCTCATGCAATTTTGCCATTCAATGTGCTCCACTGATTTCATTTTTTTTCTCATCGGCGATCAACAACACTAAACATTGAACACGAAATAATTGATGGATTTGAAAAAAATTCTTTTTTTTTGCAGGTGATCGGTGCAATCAGAAAATGGTATAGTGAGATGACTGCGAAATGCGGACCGGAACCACATATAACATTATTTTTATCATACTTATTGTTGTTTTTATCGTCCAAATTTCGGCGACGACGACCATTGATGGGGGATATGCGAATATCTCGGCATTGGCGGCGGCTCTTCGACAAACCTCCAATTTTGCACCGGTGAGCGCCTGTTTCTAATGCATGAAAATCGTCGCCATTGATTTGAAGACGCATGAATCCTCAGGATGTATTTCATAGAATCGGACAGTCAATTTAATTTACGGATCTATTTAGTGCTTGTAAATTTGTCTTTTTTTAAAATCTAATGCAATCACGTAAAATTTGTCAAATTTGACGCAAAAAATGACTATTTCGACTATATTTCATTACGCGGAATTGGAGCGTTGCCATTAGTATTCTGTAAAACCATATTTATTTTAGGAATTCTCAAAATTGATGAGAAAGGCAAATATTTAATATATTAATCAAATTAACGAAAAATGTAAGATTTTGAACCATTTGACGAAAAAAGTTGTTTTTTTTTTGTGAAAAGTGAGGTTAGATTTAGACTAAACCGTATGCAAGCGAGTGTTCACCTGGAGTGTCGTTGTCAATTGAAACCTGCCGACGCGAATTTGATAATTTTCACGATTTGTTCAAAATACTCAAGTTACTCGGGCAAACTCATCAAGCGAAACGCCGCTTTAAAGGAAAAACTATTTTTTTTAGTATTTTTTTCGTCACCGTTTCTCTCAAAATTTGCAACTGTTTGCCGAAGGCGAAAAAAAAACCTATGACTCGCCCGATGAATTTTGCCTTCTTCTGTTTTTTTTTCTTTTTTTATCATATTGTTTTTATCGGTTTTCTGTGGAGAAAATATCGCAGGTCTTTGCATGAATTTTCACATCGTTCGTGATTTTTTAAAAATTTGATTCTTGATGTTTTGAAAAGATTGTGGCTTTAGAATTCAGACGAAGAAATTTTTCTATTAAAAAAAAAACGTATTACAACAAATTTCAAAACCGAAGCTTTTTCGCTGCATTCAGAAAAATTTTGATTTTCAGGTCGACCGTCAGCATCCGATTTATGTCATTGTGCCATTGCCGAATAATGACGACTTCTCGCAAGGCAAAAATCCGTTCCTCCTCTCATTGCCAAAGGTTTCACACTTAAATTAAAATAAAAAATAAAATTTGCAAACGTTTTAAGGTTAAACCGATCATTGATTTGGCCGTTGACAAGGTTTACAAGGATAAGTAATACAGAAATCTCGTTTCGAATGTTCGTTACATATTTGTAGGCTGGTAGAACGTGGTTCTTTGGTTGTTGTGTATCGCGACACCCACTTGTCGGATGCGCATGGTCCAAATGTCGCCGTTGAGCAATACAAAATAGTGAGTCAGATAAATGAATCGGTCTAATTAGTTTCTTTTTTTTTCTCATTTCGAGCAGTTTTCTACAATCCAACTAAAGCAATTCAAACGGGACAAAAACGATTTTTTTCATTATCTTATGGTTCACTGTCGAAAATTAATGGCACATTTTAGATTTTGCAAAAAGTAAAAAAATTTTAGAGTATGCAGATTGCGCAAAAATTCTTTTTTTTTTACTTTTTTCAAGTTTTCTTCTGTAAAATTGGCTAAACGCCAAAATATAAATCCAAGCGGAAGAAACATAGAATGTTCTTCAGTCAGATTTTCTGTAAATTTCATAATTTTAAACCCCATTTTTCTTCTTTTTTTTTCAGAATCAAATCGACTGCATCATCGGCTATGCTTATGGGTATGCACTTGCACCGGTCGCCCGAATGTCACCATATTGGCGGAATGGTGTACCTGTGATCACGCCAATTGGTCTGACGATGAGCTTGGATGATAAAACAGAATACCAACTGATGACGAGAATTAACACTCCGTACAAGGTACACAAAAATTACTTTCTTAACGTTTTTTGAAAACTATTAAATGAACTGAGCTTAGAAGTCGATCAAATCGAAAATATTTACAAGACCAAGAAGCCAAAAATTGGGCAAAAAATCCCAAAATTTATTCGTCCAAATTGATATACATTCTAACACAAAGAGAAATTTGAAATATTTTGAAGAAAGGGTTTTCTCTAAAAATTCTCTAAATTTAATTGATTTTTATTTTAAAAATTTCGTTAAAAATTTTTCATAACTAAATAAAAAGGGAATTCATTCCATTTCTTCTTGTCGCCACTATTTTTGATTGAATATTCTCCTTGGAGTTGTGCATTTTCAGGTTGTTTCCCGGGCAGTGTCGACACTATTCAAAACGCTGAAATGGAAACGTCACGTCTTCATGTTCCATCACGCGAAGAGTCCCTCAATAGCTGTCGGCGAGTGTTTCCTTCTGATGGCAAGTATCCAGCATCCGCTTCGAGAGGTGTGTTGTTTTTTTTTCTCATTTTATATGTATCTATCTACGGTAAAACACCCCTCTTCGTTTCGTCGTCATCGTTGAGAAGAAAAAAAATGACGACGAAATGTTTTTGCAAGTGGAACTAGGAAAAAAAGTAATCCTGCTGAAGTCGCAAATGTCAATAAAAACGAAGATGAGAGACAGCTGAAAATTGGTCGTTTCGAAAGAAAAACATTGAATTGAGTTTTCGTGTTGAAAAACATTGAATATATAATGATCATAGTATATAGAAGACTTGCGATTTGGGTTTAAAGGCGCCTTCGACATTTAGTCCCTCCTCGAAGTGGTCCGCAGAGGCGTTTCAACCATTTGCCTTTCATATATCGTCGAAATTGGCAATATTTGGTTGCAAAATTGTTTCGTTGGTTCGCTCCCTCGTCGCCCCCTGAAAAACTCTCAACATCGTCTCCACGAGGGCTAATAAATTTGCGAATAAAGAATCGTCTCTTGGCAAACAAGACGAGAAATAGGAAAAAAAAAGATTAAGACAATTTTGGGCAGTTTATGGGCATAATAAATTGAGAAATAATGAGAAGATGTTTAAACGACGAAAAAAAATTAGTTGACGAAATGGGGGAATTCCTATGTTTGTTATTTTCGTTTTTGATGAAAATTTGCGGGTTTTTTGAGGTGCTTGAAAGATTAAAAGATCCCAAGTTCTGAATAGTACTGTATTTGCCCTCTAAAGATTCCTTAAAGTTTTGTAGATTACCTGCAGGTTACCCGTAGTAAGGTACTTAAATTCCCGTGTTGAAATTAAAATTTGAATTACCGCCTCTAAAAAATGCGGTAGTTCACAATTACTATTAGCTTGAATCGTGTGCCTTTCAAAAATTCAAATTTTCATTCCAACCAATTGATGGGATACTGTTGTTTTTGAACAGGTCATGTTTCACGGGCTATTAATTTCAATAAGTCTCGATGGTCCCTAGTTTTTGTTGAGGTCCATACATGTACATAGTGAATGTGAATGTGTCGCATTTCCCGTTTTGTTTATAATAATTTGTTGTATGCAATAATTTTGCAAGCAAAAATCTGCCCTCATTCTCTGCCGCACTCGCACCCCCGTTTTTCGCTCATTTTCGTGGTGCAAAATTGGGCATCGCGCTGGAAACGAAACAAAAGGGGGGTTTGGTTTGTATATATTTTTATTTTTCTTCCGCATTTTTTTTTGCAAAGACGGTGCCAATTCGGGAAATGGAATTGGCGGTGGTGGTCCCCTTCTGCAAACCAACTTTGCATTCATTTCTGCAACACATTTGATTGTGGTAAACAAACTAGAAACAATTTAGGGATTGGTAGGCGAAAATTGAAAATTAAAGTGTTTGTTGTTGGTGCGGTCAAGAAGCGAAACGTTTAATTAAGAATCTGTCATGCTTTCTGCAAAAACTTGGAAATTTCAATGGCGTGCGAGTAATGACAGCTGGGTTATTTCGTGAATCAAGAGATCGTGCTGCGGACAATTTTCGGATTCTTTGGTAGTCCGCTGATTTCCGAATATTCCTAATCGGATTGGTTTTTTTTTTTCACTGAACATCAGGATGTTCCAGGAGGTCTTCGAGTGCATGGAATCGAGATCACCGTGGTTATTCTTTTACACCATTTTAGCACTCGGATCAGAAATATTTTTGTTTTTGTTAACGGATTTTGAAATGATTCGGAATTGTTTTGAAATGGCCGCCTGTTTTTGACGAGCCTAATAATTGTGTTTGTTTAGATGAACCATCCCTTATTTGGAATTGAGCATACATAGTGAGAAGAAAATAACTTTTTTTTCGTTGAGACTTCCAAATGTGGGAATTTAGTCAAGATTTTCACTTGCACTATTTCGTCGCAATCATATTCCAATTTCGATTGGCTGAAAACGAAACCAAAATTCCGGAAAATCGAAAATCATTGTGTCGAAAATATCGGCTGTGGTCGTCGTCGTCTTTGTGAATGTGCAATGAATAATTTGACGCACAAAGACGTGCAAAAACCTGGTGGAAGACGGGGAGGAAAGAAATATTCCTCTTTTTTTTGCCTCCTCAATCGCCTGTTGCTGAATGGGGAATTTGAACTTTGAAGCTTTGTGTGACGTGATCCTCATTGTTTTTTTTGGGAGGGAGGCTTTAACCTTGGAAATTTCTCAGACAATGGGACTGATTAATTGATGATCAATCATGCTGCGAACAATTTTGAATGAATGAATTTGCAGAACTTCGAGATGCAGCACAACTTCTTCACGTTCAATGAGGATCATCATGCGAATATGACATGGGAACGACGGCAGCAGGAGTTTCGATCCCATTTGCGGAAAAGCAGTTTTGTTGCAAATGGTACGCGATTCTATTATTTCCATTCTCTTTCTTGTCATTCGATATTTCGTATCCGATTACATTCCTTCCCAATTTCCAAATATGGAAACAATTCAAATAATTGATTATCCGGGTGGAGAATGAGCTGACGATCGATAATTATGGCTTTTTCGGTCGAACTTCTGTTGCAAAAAAAAAACACCGAAGGCGAATCGAATTGCTGGTCCCCTTCTCGTTCGTTCCTCTTCCTGCTCTAATGGCTTCTATTCATTCTCACTCATTCCCTTATGCAGAAGCTTCTTTCTGTGGGTGATGGGATTTCTCAAGACGCTGCGGCTTTTTATAAAATTGGATAATGCACTATGTGAAGAAGATGAAGAAAAAAAACCACCAAACAAGGAATATAATATTTGAAATAGATGAGATGAGAGTCGGGTGGCACCTACTTTGTGATTCAGAATATTAGGAATTCCAAAAATTGGATGGACTCGTTGACGCCCGTCAGTATTGAGTGATTCAGCGCGGAGGCAGCCGAGAGGCTCCCTAGTTTGGGAATTGATTTAGGGTTTGGATAAACTTGTGCATTATTCAAATGTTGTTGCCTATTGGATTTGACGACGACGATTCCTGTTTATCGTCTCGAATCCTGATGGGTGTGTGTGTCTGTGTGTGTGCGTGCTTAATTGTATTTGCGTGTGAGTGTGACCGATCAGAAATTCGAGAAGTTCTCACGGTCTAGAAAAGCAAAAAAAAACGATTCTCAAGTTGACTTGGTTTCCGAAGGACAAAGATTGTGGTCCTCCTCCTAAAACGGCGAAGCACAGAACACGTACTCTCACAGATTCGTCGTAAATCCCATTATGAAAACCAACTTGAAAGGGATTACTGAACAAGATAATCCGTGTTTTAATTTGTTGTTGAAACTTTCTGCACTTCGAGCAAAAAATTTTGGCCTTTATGGCCTACTTATCCAGAACAAAATGAGTTGGAACGTGACCTACGGCCACGTGGCGACCTACATCACTGTTTTTCAGCTCATTTTCATTTTTTTTGTGATTTTGTCGTCTTCTTGCTCGATTCCAGCAATTTCCCTCGAGACTTCATCCCATTGCTATCGTCATCCTCGTCGTTCTGTGATCGTCTCCTAATGGTAATCCAGTTTGATGTTTCGAGCCCTAAATTGCGGTCGTTTCTTCTCGCGGTCTCACACTTTCATCGGAATGAAGAATAGGCGGCGAATTCAAGAAGTTATGCGATCCGCGAGTAGAAACCGACTGAGTCGGGCCAGGCAGCAAAATGAAGAAGAGAAGGTTGAGCGTCGACATGCGCGAATTGAAAATAATTGATTTTGAGAGCGTTTGGCATAATTAAAAAAAGAAACGATGAGACTTGAAGATAGTTGTTTTTGTGAATACGAGAAAGAAAAAATGAAAGCATGACGTTTCTCTCCAACTTTTTTTTTAGAGCAAAAACTTGCAACCAAAAAAACAGTTAGTTTCGTATAAAAACTGCATGCATTATAAAGTACCGAGACGCGCTTTATTTGGCGGTGTACTTTGCCTATTTGGAAGGAGTGGAAGGAGGAGGTAAACCGATTAAAATGCAGACCTTTTTTTGTGACGGTTATTGATGCTCTCGTATCGCGATCGCGTCATTTGCGATGCATTTCAAAGCGGATTACTGTAGGAGGGGGGAATGGTTCTGCTGGGGGCAAATTGGATGAAGTAGAGGATCGAATAGAGGGTGGAGGCTGGGGTGCAAATGGCATTTTTTTTGCAAACGATTCCATCATCGGCCAACAATCATATGCAAATCGGGTTCACCTTCTCATTCTTTCTCTCTCTCTCTCTCTCTCTCTCTCTCTCTCTCTCTCTCTCTCGTCTTTTTTGACCACCCAATCCCGTATGAAATTGTGCCACACCGGGAGTGTTGTACTTTTGTCGACGTCTGCGTCTCACAGTCTCGTGTGCTATTTCTCCGACTCTCTCCGATTCACATCATAAAATGGTGTTCGGAACATATGGAACGCGACGCGAAATTTTTCAACAAATTTTGTTGATTTTCGTTTTCAGCGAACATGGCATTTTTCGTAGAAAACTATGCACGCATATGCAATATGTGTGACGGTTTGATAGAGACAGAAATGGTTGAAGTGGGCGGGACTTCGGTTGGACGTCTAGGCAGCAAGAGAGACAGCCAGCGGGCCTGGTGTTGGTGGTGTGTCTCACCTCTTCTTTTCTCTTCTTATCGCTTCCAAACGGGCCGGCCAGTCGACTAGCCCCAGCAGCAGCTCGCCGTCCCCCTCCCCCTCCTCCTCCTCCGACACATATTGTGCCGCTGGTGACCGCCGGCGTGTGTGTGTGTGTGTGTGTGTGTATTTTGTGTGTGCGCGCGCTCGCTCTTCTTCTTCTTCTTCTTCTACTACTTCCAAGCGCTGGTGAGCGTTTCCACTCGTCCGCCCCTCGCACGTCCCTCCCTTTCTCCTTCTTCTTCTTCTTCCCGGCTTCATCATCATCAGTCGTCGTATTCATTCGGTGGTGGTGTGCGTCCTCGAACCCGTCGTGCTACTTATGAGGTTGCTATGCTCAGATGGTTGACCGTATTATGTGCGATTCTGATTGCCGATGGAATCGTGGTGTCGCCGACCACGACGTCGTCGTCGTCGTCGCCATTGAAGACGACGAAACGGAAGCTGCCGCCGCTGACGCCCTCGCAGCTCGCGCATTTTCCGTTCAATGTGATCGTGATTCTACCCGAGAAAGAGTCGATCTATGACAATTTCCGGATGACACTTCAGAAGGCGAAGCCCGTTATCGACACCGCACTCGACGACGTCGCTAAGAAAGGCTTTCTGCCACCGGACTGGATCAATTTGACGTATTGGGATTCGAGACTCTATGAGGACATTTCACTTGCTGAGCGGCACGCAACCGTCGGAGTCATTCAGGCTTATTGCGAACATCGTCTAGACGCGATTCTCGGATTTGCGGACAACTATGGCCTGGCGACGGTAACCAAGGTCACTGCCGGTCTGAACGGCGGGATTCCGATTCTAACGACGTCGGGAATGCCGTCGCTGCTCAATTCAAAGAAGGAGTATCCATTTCTGACGCGAATGCAAGGATCCTACCAACTTCTTGCCGACTCGATGTACCAGTTGATCGCTTACCACGAGGATGATTTGAATTTGTCGTCGTCGAACTCGTCGTTAAACTATATCCACCTCTTATTCTTCTATCATGATAAACGGCGAGCTGTGAATCGGCAGGAAGACGAGAATCAGGAGACGGGCGCCATCTCATCACACTGTTATTTTTCACTGTATGCTATTAAACGCTATTTCACTGAGAAGAGCTCGACGTTCAAACGTGAATGGGCTCTGAACACACCGCAATTTCCGTTCGATGAGGATCAACTGATCGGACGGGAGACGTTCAAGCAGTGGTTGCGGGAGATCTCGTATCAATCAAACGGTTAGTCCATTTTTTTCTTTTTTGTGTGTGTGTGTTTTTTTTTTTTTTTGAAATTTTCCCTGATATTTTGGGGGTTTCTTTTTTCTCTCTCGCATTCCTCAATCCCATTTCTCAAATTGCCGTTTCCTGAGAAAAAGAATGTGTTGAGATTGCCCAAAAAATTGTCGATTTGCAAAATGAAAATCGATCCAATCATCAATAGAGTCGACCCCGCGATGCCCGTTGGCCATCATTGCGAGATAGACAGACAAATAGATAGATAGATAGAAGTTGTTGCAAAAATTGTTTGACAAAATAATGCAAAAAGGTTTGATAAGAAGAGAGTGTTATTTGACACTTGGCGTTTTGGCCACGCCAGGCAGTCAGGCGGCCGGTTATGTGTGTGTGTGTGTGTGTGTGTGTAAGTGAATGAGTGTGTGTCTCTCTCGCTGGGGTCTATATGTGTTTGCAGGCGGCTTTGACATGATTAAAACATGATCTTGGAAGGGTTTTTGACGAGTATCGACAAAAGTTGTTTTGTCTATGTGTGTGTATGCGTGTGTGTTCATCAGATGCCGTTGTCGTGGGGCGAGCTAGACGACATTGGTGGTTGAAGGCAAAGCGTTGGTCGTTTTGCCTTCGCCAAAAAAATATAGACTGGAATAACAGAAATGGGAATGAGCTGAACACCAACAACAAAAACAACGACACCAGCCCACAGCTGCAGCGAACACGTACACATAAAACACTGAAAGGACCATCAAGGCTGTCGTCGGCGTTGCCTGCAAAATGTTTATCGGTTGGTGGCTGTCAGCAGCAGCGGCAGATGAGACTGTTTAAAGAAATACACTAAAAAAAACCCGCGGACTGAATAAATTGTTGATGGCTGGTGTGTTTATTTATGTAGTTGAAGTGTAATTTGAGATGAATCCCCATTCGTAGGTGTTGTTTATTTTTTTGGTAGGGGGTTGATTGGGGTTGAACTTCTTGTTTCGCAACATTTTGGATCTTTCTCTTTTTTTATTGGCTTGATCCTTGAATCTCCAGTTGTTTTTTTTGTATTTTGAATAATGTTTTATTTTTTGAAGTAGATGGCTAATTGAAGGGTCAACTGATGGTTCAATTCATGGATAGATCAAAAATTTGCGAGCGCTTTTCTCTGAAAATACTCGGGTTTTCCGTATTATTGTTTCACTCTGCGTCTCTCGCCTGACTCTAGCCGTATGACTCTCTTTCTTTCTTGCTCTCTCACTAGTATCATTCCTTGCGCACTTTTTGATTGTAATTTTTCATGATGAATAGCTTGCTTTTTGATTGCTTGTTTTTTTTTTGTCTTGTCTCGTACGCATATACATAATCGGGTGCTCGTTATCCGTTTGCCTTGTTCGGTGGTGCCTCCCGCATCCAAACACTTCCTGCCTTTCAATTATTTTTGTGCCGCGAGCAGCCCACCGGAGAAGAAAAAGACGAGGAAGAAGCTAAAAAAATGTCTAATGAAAAACAACAATAATGATGTGTATATGAGTGAGTGAGTGTGTGTGTGTGTTTATGTATGTGTTTTTTTTTGTTGATGCTGCTTCAGCTTCTGCTGTATTTTTTGGTGGAATACGCCCCCTCCCCTCCCCACACACACATACACGTTGAACAGAGACGGGCACGTGTTGAAAATGATTTGAGAAATTTATCGATCAGCTGCTAAAATTTTGTGGTTGTTTGTTGTTTGCTGTTGGAAGAGAAACCACCTGCTTTTTTTGTAGGCGAAATCCGGACGGCGAAGAAAAACTGGGAAAATAAATGGAATTGAATTAATTAGGGATCCGAAAGGTGTTGCGGGTTTTTTTTGGAGCTTCTTCATGCTTTGGTGGATTTTTTTTTGCAAAACTTCATCTTCCTCTTCTCTTCCTCCTACACAGATAAACGGCAGCATAGGCACAATGGAAGCATAATGGAACGGCTGTGGATATCATAGGAATCTTATATGCAAGTTATATGGAAGCATAATGGAAGCATTTTTTGCGGAACCGCGTGTTTCGTATATGGAATGAGCCGTATGCCTTCCATATGGGCAAATAAGAAAACAATTTGATTGCTGTATTCAAAATTTATTTCATATTAACACATTTATTTAATTTAAAATAAAAAAAAACAACAATGAAATGAATTTCAATTAAGATATAATCAAACCATTAGTTACTGGCAACTGCCGAACTATTCGAATCATTGTCAGTACTGACATCGAGCGGGACGCTGTAATAAGTAGAATTCATATCGTTCACACTTGGTTAAAAAGCCGTGTTATGATATTTTTAAAAACAACAACTATTGCTAAGAAATTAGGCAAAAGTCCTAATGCACATTTAACCTATCCTTTTTTCGCAAATATACGCTTGTAGAAAGAAACCGTTATCGAATTTTTACCTTTTCTCCACTTTTCCTAGTCGCTACACTTCGATTATAATGGGCCTATTAATTTGAAAAACTTGTAAACCATTGTTACGTAAACTAAATTTTTCGAGAAAATACAATCAGTTTTTTTTACATCAATAATTTTCTTAAAAATAAAAATAATTTATTTTTATTGCATTTTTGGAAACCCTTTAGTGCACAAAATAAAAAGTGAATTGGCGGAAGAAAGAACAACTCCAAAATTTGAAGCAAAAAGGCATTTTGGTTAAAATTTCAAAGACATATGAATACTCACATCTGAGGGTTGCTGGTAGAATCAAGCAGCTTCCTTAATTGCGCCGCGAGCGCTTCCGGCGCTACACCAAATTTCCTTTAAAGTCGTTGGCGCATTCTATCGCTTAATCAAATAAATAAATTAATAGTCATAGCTCAAAATCTTACAGAAGATTATCCATGACTTCTCGAACCATGCGTAATGCTTTCGCTTTGAAGTCATTTGTCGGTTGTTGCCCAAAGCCATGGATAAGAACATCTGTAATATAGATATTTGCAATAAAGTATAGGATCTTTATATAGTCGGCGTCTGGCGACTTCTGTACTAGAGCCCCACTTAAAAAGATAAATGCCACTGAATGATATTGGTACGAAGGCTGTACGGCAATCGGAAATTTCGGCGATTCGGCTAATGGCAAATTACCGATCGAAATTTTCTTCGGCAATTTGAAAAACCGGCAATTTCGGCAATCGGCAATTCCATTGCCGCACAGCCCTGATTGGAACCAAATAATCAACAAGCTTTAAACTTAGGAAGTACTTTATAAAGACTTCATTGCGCATATTTTTCTAATTGAAACCATTTCTGGAGTCGAACAGGCCAATTTTTGATGATAACAACTTACAAATTGCGCGTACGAAGGTTTAGGAATTGGCGTTGATTTTGTTGTTTGTGAGGACTGTGGAGAAAAATTTTTTTGCTGAGTTGGCGAGTAAATTGGACTATCTGGATCTGAAGTGTCGAGCGAATTTGGTTCCATGTTAGGGACTTCTGGTTCTTTGTTATTGACTTCTAGAGCAGTTTCAGTTATATCTGACAACACTCTCGATCTTGTCTTCATCTGTAAAAAATTTCAAAACATTATGTTTTATTAAAAGAAAAAAGCGAGCGATAATAAAAAAATATGTTAAAGTAAATAAAAATAAAACGGATTCGATGAGAAATTAAACACAATTCGATTGAGAAAATATTTAAATTCGATTTTAAAAGTGTCGGAAACGATTTGAAAACATCGTATCGATTTTAAAATTTTCGAATGATGATAAACATGAAAATGATAAACATGAAAATTTTTCCTTTATTTTTTAAAAACATTTTTCCTTTAATTTTGAAAAAAATTCTTTAATTTTTGACAAAAAAAAACACAAAAAATCTTGAAAATTCATTGAGAAAAAGCAAAAGGACAAAAATTTTGAAAACGAATTTCGAAAATGTGAGGCGTGGCCGCATTGTGCAAAGCGGCGCACGGTTTTGCAATGCTGCGGCACGCCTCTTCTACGCGCGTCTGCTACCAGTTTGGAGCAAATTGTGAGTAGTTTGCGATGCCAATTTCGGAAAAACCGGCAAAAATATATTAATACGACTAAATTGTAGTTGGCAATCTTTAAACAAAGTAAGGAACAGTTGACTGAATTAACATAAATCTGAGTAGCATAAGTCATTAAATGGTAGAAGCTAAATTTCGTATGTTGTGTATCATGTAATTTTCAAATTTTCATTGTTTATATGATAGCATAAGTTTTTTGTATTGATTTTTCTAGAAATTGTCTTTGTCTGCCGTCCAGACGCCAATTGTATAATGTGTAATGATATATGATTATTTTATCCATATTTCATCCATATTCGTTCCACGGCTCGCAAACACCGGAAGCATATTCATCCCGTTTTCATTCCATCCATATTCGTCCCATATTTCTTCCACAGCCACTAAGAATTACATTATGCTTCCTATATGGAAGCATTAATCAGTGTACTTCTCCTCCTCCGCATTCATTGGCTTCCCCGTTTTTTTTTAATTAATTTATGAGGGGAGTTTATTCTTTCTTTTTTTTTTTGCGAAACTTGCTCGATTATTCATGTGCCCTCTGTGTGATATTTTGGGACGGAATCGAGCACAGGTGGTTCGTTGAGGCACTCGCATACGCGCTCTATGATCTATAGCCTTGCTCTGCTCGTCTGACTCTGACTTATCGCGATGATGTAAATATTAATTAAGGCGCATTTGAACACGGGTCTTGAGGGAAGGCGGATATTAATGCGTATTAATAATAATAATTAGTTTTGTTTGGATTTTACTTATTTCGATGCACTTCATTCAAATTGATCCCAATTGTTTAGCTTATTAGTCACTCATATACATAATCTCAAGAGATTAGCACAGCGGGAAACAAATTTTGTTGCAAAATTTCGAGCGCAATTGGCCAAATCTGCCGACTCCGGCTCCAGCTGCTCCGCTAATTGCTTTTTGACGGAATGAACCGAACATAACGCAAAAACCATTTTACCTTTATTCTTTCGTGAATTTTGTGTTTGTAGGTGTCGTCGTATGGACATTTTATTCAATTT